TTAAAGAAGTCCCCAGCAGAGTCGCCAGTTCTGTGATACAGTGGGAGAACTGACTTGAGGTTTTGCGTTTTGTGTTCGCAAATGTTTCGGTTTAGCAAGAGTCACCACCGACTTTTTATTTTATCCTAAGGAAAGGTCAAAAAGCACAGGAAAGACCTTTGAGATGTTTTCTCGAGTTCGGGGAGTAGATTATGAAAAGGGAAGGTGCAAGCACCCTTTTCATCCATGGTTATCCATGGGCTCTTAGTTACTTGTTTAGATCACTTGCTTTTGCTTTTTAATTGTTTGAAATGGTGCTTTGTGTGTGGTTTTGAAAGATGTTTTGAAAAGAGGCCATCATTGTGGCAACCTTTGTAATGATTCTTGTTTGAATGTATACAAAGGTGTTTTATCTTTTGAAAAGATTTCAATGTTTGAAAGTTTGTTTTGGGAAATGTTTTGAAATTGTGTTGTGAAGTGTGTTTGAAAATAGCAAGGATGTTTTACAAGCTTTTGATCAAGTAACTAAGAGCTATCTACCCTAATTTACTCAAAGATCTTTCCTAATGTTTTTAACCCTTTTGCCAGTGTTGTTTTACCATTGCATTTGGTAAACAACCTTGTATTAGGATGTTAAACAGGACAGGCGTGGGTCATCGTACAGACCATGATAGCAATTGTGTTAGGTATTTTTGGCAAATTTTTTGAGGGACTTGATCATTTTTGTTTAGGCAACTAAAATAGCGTCATCGAGGGACTATGATCTTTTGTTTTGTTTTTGTTTTGCCAAAGTACCCAACATGCATAACATGGCCCATTTTTAAGGCAACAAGTGGATTGTAACCCTAGGGATGCAAGTGTGCATTGTGTATTGATTTTCATACATTTTTGTCTTTGATTAGGTCAAGCTACTTGTTGATTTTGGATTTTTGCATACAAACCCTAATCTCTAATCATGGCATAATTGAAAGCATAAAGTGCGAGAATTAAAAGTCTAAGCTATTACAACATGATTATGGGGATGGAGATACAATCTTTGAATGGGGATGTATTTGACAGGAGATATAAATCCTAATTTACTATTACATCCAAATTGAATTCAAATGCATAAATAAATGGACAACATTTAAATAAACAAAATAAACAAATATATCAAATAATATGAATTATGCAAAAAAGTTTATATTTATTTTCTAAGTATGTAAAAACATTTAATGTAAAAATAAAGAAATAAATAAAAGATTAATTTTATTAGGTTAAGGGTGAAACCCTAATTTCTTTAAGAAAGTAAATATATTAATTATTTTATCTATATACAAATAAAAATAAAATAGTATTTGTAAAAAATAAAATATATTTAGAAAAAAAATATTTTTAAGTATAAATAATAATAAAAGTAAAAATGTAATATTTTATATTTTTACTCTAAAGTATTTAATAACATAAAAGTATATATATATATATATATATATATATATATATATATATATATATATATATATATATATATATATATATATATATATATATATATATATATATATATATATATATATATATATATATATATATATATATATATATATATATATATATATATATATATATATATATATATATATATATATATATATATATATATATATATATATATATATATATATATATTGTGAACAAAAATAAAATTATGATTTATATATTATTTTCAAGTTTTTTTTAATAAATAAGACAAAAGTAATTAATTGCTTTTTATGTTAGAAAAATAAAAATAAAATGCAAAATAAATGTGAAAAAATTATAAAAATATTTTTTGAGTATTTTTTATATTTGGGAATAAAAAAATATAATCAAAAATGAAAATAAAAATATAAAAATATAAAATATCAAGAAATTGGGCCAGGGGGTGCAAAAAGGAAAAGGGAGGTGTCAAAAGTAGCCAGGACCAAGTCCAGCCCAAACCAACTTCATCTTCAACCTTCTGATTTTGAAAACGCGCGCGCCCTGTACAATTGTCAGATCCTGTATACGAGTTCTATTGCAAAAACACATAACATCAAATTTGTAGAGCATTTCAAGACGAATCCAACCATATAAAGAACTTGTCCTAACTCTCAAAAACCAGAGAGAATTTCTCTGACCCTAAAATCTAACCTAGTTTTTTCAGTATGTTCATGGATGAAATTCTCTTAGCATGCTTAATATAAATGAAAACTGAGCATATGTACAGCTTCATGGCAATGAATACTACATTTCTTATTCACAAACCTAAGGCTAAATGTTCCTAAATAGAGAGATAGGAAGTGGACAAAAACCTGTTTCAGCTGACTTCGTGTAGGGCAATGTAGAGCTTTTCAACAAGGCTTGAGATGTCTGGGAGCTTGCTTGAACTTCACTTGACCTTCTCCAATACCCTGCTTGCCTTGAATATGCTTGAATCAGCCTACAGAACTCAACCTGCACAAGCTCAAAATGAAAATGGCAAACTTTGTAAATGGAGTTACAGTTGGTGTTTGAGGTTTGGGATAACTTGGATGAGTTGAATGGAATGTGTTTGAACCAACTTGGGGCAAAACGCACGAGCCAATTGAGCTATGGAAGTCAAGTTGCAGGTCCTGCCCTATTTTACCAATGGAAGGTGATTTCTGGCTAGGGGATATTTAGAGGCTCAAGCAATCGTGTTTCTGGCTCAAAGGGGTGTGAGAAAGATGTTCAAAATGCTTGCACAAGTTTCTTTGGGCTGATGTTCAAGTTTTTTATGTTTTTGACAAGTTTCTTGTTTTTGAAGCAAAATGTGGGAAGTGATTGAAACAGGCTTGTACAGGCTATCCTTATGCTTGCATACTTTGCCCTTGGCCCCCCCAACTTGTAGATTTGATTAGCTGCATAAGATATGGATCAATGCTCAAGAAATCAGTTTTGTAATAAAGTATGATTTTAAACAAAAATGGAAACTTTGCTTTTTCTACTTAGGGATTAGTTTTATGTACAATGCCCTAATGACCAAAACAATGTATTAGACCAATGGATTTGCATTAAATTATTGAGTGTGAAGTGGTTTAGAGGCCTGTAATCTAGTGCAAAGCATGCTGACTTGAAATTGCGACTTGTATGAACATGAATATGCCATGGATGAAAAGTGAGTTTTTGCCAACTTCAAGCTTTTGATTCTATCTAACCACAAATGTGTTTGAGGAGTTCTTGGACATTTTGGAAAGCTTGCAACATACTCTACAATCCATATTTAAAATGAAACTTGATATTCTAAGTGGAACTATGTGAAAATGGCCATGAAGATAGGTCAAAATCCTGCATAAACTAGGACAAAATTTCACTAAGTTAAAAGTTTTAGGGACCCTTGTTCCAAAAATCATAACTTGAGATCCAAGCTTCTTTTGAGAAAACTTTGTGAATCAAAGTTTTAGACTTTGTGGAGGACTAGAACTTTCATGTTGTAAGTTTTGTTTGAATCCAATTGCATCATGGTGAAAATGTTGGGAAAAGTTAGGAAAAATTAAGAAAATTTCATAACTTAGAAAAATTCTAAGTTATGAAATTTTTCAACTTTAAACCCTAATTTGCAAAAATGGGTTTCTTGATGAACAAGTTTCATGTTTTGACACATCTTGATGAAAGATGACCCTTGGCACTTGATTTTGACCAAAAAGTCAAAGTTTGACTTTTCAGTGTACAGTCAAATTTTGATCAGTTGACGGAAAAATTCATCTGTCAATCCACTGCAATTGAGATCTTTTGAACTTGTTGAATAAGTCAAGATGATGCCATTAAGTCCTTGAGTCCATGGTTGAACCCAATTTGCCATTGGCTAAGTAAAAAATCAGAAATTGCATTTGTACAATCAAAACCCTAAAAATGACCATTTTGCCCTTTTGGTAATCTGATCAAATTTCTTGTGGAGTTGTGGTCCAAACTTGATCAAATGGTTCATATGAGTTCATAATGTTAATGTGGGTCAAAATTCATGAGGTTTGACTGTAAATTGGCCACAGTTAACTTTTTTTCCCAATATAGCTGATTTCTAGGCCAACTGTCCAATTGACTGGGCAAAAATTTGATTCAAGGCTTGAAACTTGGTATGGTCAAACTTATGAGTCCATCCTGAAGTATGAAAGTCATTTTGAGCATTAGAAATCCAAAATTCTCTGTGCAAACTCAAACCCTAATTTAGGTCAATAGTGCAAAGAGATGTCTTGAGCAGAGCAAACCCTAGCTTGATCTTGAGTTCAAAGAGCCTTGTGATGAGAAATGTTGATAAAATGAGAGGGAAAATTTTGGGGTACAACAGCGTCTAAGTACAACATGAGTTGCGGGTGACACAGACGAAAACTGGTAGGGATCGATTGTGAACCCTTTCCTCTCGCCTCTCTTTTAGAGGACTTAAGAATGGTTTCCACAAAAGGACCTAAAACCATCCCACCGCTATACAAGCATAAAATGTAAACATACGTGCGGAATTTCCCATTAATCTCAGATGAGGCTTTAAACAAACCAAGCATAGATAGAATACATAAAGCGGTTCCTGCTACAGGTCTTTAAACAGATACTTAGAGCGCACACTCTTTTATTTCCTGCTTCCTACTTCTCATGATCTTTAGAAAGTGGTAAAATGCAGTATTTACAATATTTACAACAATAATGATCTGAATGTATACCAAACAGATAAAACAAATTTGTATACATCAAACTCTAAAACAAAATATCTGAATCTTCACAAGCTCCTAAAGCTAGCATCAACAAGAGAAGCGTCAGAAATATAGCACAACAAGTGCAAGCAAGCGTATCCATCTTTGGAGCGGTCAATGTCCGAACTCATTTCTCAAGGCATGCACAACTCACCAAAATGGTTAGCAAATAACAACACAATTGAAATACAAATTGTAAGTAAGCAACAATAATTACAAGTAAACATGATTATGTATAATATAAAATGAGTAAGTTGCTTCAAAACAGAATGGCATTTTCGGGCAGCATTGTATTAGTTCAGAAAGAGTACCAAAGTTAGCATGGAAGCGGAAGAAATGAGATCAGATATAAGTATGAACATGAATGGTCAAATGGTAAAAAGTGAACCATGTTTAGACGCTAATAACAATACTCCGGACAGCCACGCCACATTCAAGTAATTAAACTCAAAAAGCGGTAAAAACGCATATGTACAAGTTAACGGTATCAACAAAACGCGATATTTACATAAAACGGTAATCTCTTGAATGTCAACATCCAATGCACAAGCTACCAGGTTAGTTGGTATGCTACAAGTTAGTATATTTTCAAACTAGGAGGAAATAGTATCACAAACCGAAATTAGTGTAAAAAGGTATTTTTCAAGTTACGGTATAATATGTGCATAAACTGAAAAGCACATCCGAAACAAACGGTAACCTTTTGAAAATTGTTCGGAATGAATTGTGAAAATTAATGGAACTTATATTCATGCAAACGGTCACAAAAATGCAATCGATTCGTCCAAATTTCACCCGAAAATATGATTTTCGCAATAGTACAGCTTCAAGGAAATCGGGTAAAAAAATGTCCGAATCAAAAAACTGTACGTGAAGAGAGTTTCGAATGGCTCAAGAGATATGGTTTTCATTAAAGAAAGTTGAAAAAACTCAAAGCGGATCAAAAGTTATGGCAAGATACCGTTTATGTCAAGTTTTGGACATTTTCCAAGAGAAGAGCCAATTTCCATTAAACTCAAATCAAGCTTTATCAAATGTGTTTCATTATAATGCTTTGAGTTTATTAGAAACCAATGCAACTCATGAAAATTTCCAAATGCAAGAAGTCACACAACAAAATAGCAAAACAAACATTATGTGCAAAGTGAGAAAAAGTGTTAGTATCTAGAGTAAATGTTAGCATTCACATGAAGAACTTGTTTGAAAAGAAGCAAATTTCTATGTCAAAATGGATATTCTGGATAGCAATACCATTCTCATGTTATCAAGCTCAAAGAGCGGTAAAAATGCACATAAACAAGTTACCGGTGTCAAAGACGGTAAAACTATAAACACCGAAACAATTTAAACAAAATTAGAATGCCTATTTCAGACAGCAACTCATGCTTATGAAAATGGCCGACAAGTTGGCATAAATCGTCACACAAAAATGTGCCACGAGTCAAATATGATGCAAAAAAATAAGACACCAAAACTTTAGTTTATAAGTCGAAAACTAAACGAAAAGTGCTCGGAAATAACCATAAAAATTTAAGTGACATAGAAACGTGCCAACGGTTCCAAAAACCAATTCGGTTCGGCCAAATTTCTATCCGAAGTGTAAAATCCGAAACAGTACAATAGCACGAAAATGGATCAAAACTGGTTCGATTCGAAAAAGTAATCATGTGAGGAGCTCTGGATGGCTCAAGAGACATGGTTTTCATTATAGAAAATTGGAAAAACTCAAAGCGGATTGAAAGTTAAAGAAAAAATGAGTTTATGTCAAAAAATGTCATATTTTCCAAATGTTGAGATGTTTTCCACTAAACTCAATCAAACTTGTTTAAACTGAGTTTTACAATGGTATTAAAATTTATTGAAACTCATCTCAACACCTAGCAATGACAATCAACAAGTATTCACAAATATTTGGCAAATAAGTGAGTTTTATGTCAAAAGTGAGAAAATATTAGTAACTTGAAAATGCTATGTACAGGATACATCATAATGCAAGGAAGCCTCATGAGATTATCAACCAAAAAACACGCAACAAAGGCCAATTACTTTGACATCAAGACCTTGAAGAAAACTCACAATATAAAGTTCCAAATTCATGAGTTTATGTCATTTCTTTTATGTAAACTTGCAAACTTAATACAAACTCATGAATCAAGTTCACTAAATGTAAATTCTCTACAATATTTTGATGTCAAGCATTGGATACAATCAAAGAGTTATCATTAAACTACACTAAATGTTAGCGTATGTTAGTTTCTATACAACTACATTCTTGAAGATTTACTTAGAACTAGTTTAAGTTAGTTCCAAAGGTGAACAAAATTCAAGATTCAAGAAACTAAACTACATCTAGGTTTGAGAATCAAAACTAAATCCTATCTGTTAGTTTAGGAAAAATCAAATAAGATTCACATCTAAAAACTTCAACAAAGTTAGTTTATGCTAACACTATTTACTAAACCAAAAATCAACCTAAACTCCTAGCCTAATCTTGGATTCAAGCTAAATCTTAGTTGAATTCCATGTTCCGATTAACAATTACATCAATTCTTGGTTAATATTCAACAAGACAATTTGCAATTTTCAATTTGCAAGAGAAGAAGATATAGAACCTTACCTCAAGAATTGGAGAATTTGCAGAATTGGAGAATTTGCAGAATTGAAGAATTTGTAGAATTGGAGAACTTGCAGAAATGAAGAACTTGCAGATTTGAAGAATTTGCAAAATTGAAGAACTTGCAGAATTGAAGAACTTGCAGGAAGCCTGAAGTAATGCGCGGCCGAAGGGAGTATTGTCGGAGGAGGGAGCGTGCCGAGAGGAAGAGAGTTTGGCGGAGGGAGATGTGCCGAGATGAAGGGAATCCGACGGAGGGAGATGTGTGGCCGGGAGGGGCTGCTTGCCAGAGGAAGGAGGCCGTAGAAGGAGGTCGATCACCGGAGGGAGGAGGTCGATCGGAGCTCCGATGATGGTTGATGGTGGTTCGGTTGTTGGTGAGGTAGAGAGAGTAGAGAGGTTTATGAGTTTTTTTGGTAAAATGAAGAATGTTCCTAATTTTTTTGGGGGGAAATATTTATATAGTATTTGAATTTTGAACTAAACTTTCAGCTTATTTACCGTTTAACCACAAATTAAACAATGATCTGTGAAAATTTCCGACGCATTTCTGACGAAAATTCAATAACATCTGACATGTTTGAGTGATGGGACATCACGACCAAAAATTATAAAAGTCAAAATATTAGCTTATTTGACCTCTGCTACTCGGTAACGTCACAAGGTCGTGCCCAAGAAATCATAACCTCGATTCGACTTTTCCAGGAAAAATATGTGTCTTTAAGCGCCCGACATCGTGTCAAAAAATGAGAGTCGTCTGATAAACGGTTGATTTCCCATGAATTTATAGTACAATGGCGTTCAGTCTATTTTGCTGGTACGAATAACCCATTTTGCGAAATAAACCAACAATAGAGGTTTTCGGGCTACCGTTTGTCTTGTAAATATGAAACAGAATTGAAGTAGAGAAAATTAGCAAGCCAACGCTTCGAGAACAAGCGTGATTCGATAAAAATTGACCGAGTTATGAATTTTTAAATATTGGAAACCAAATTGACAGGTACCAAATAATTCCTCAGTAATTCACAATTTATGCAGCCTTCCTCAAATCATCAACTGTCTCCCCCGGACATCCATCAAGAGGATATCAAGACGGAATTTTGGACACCAAAATCACGCTCATACAGTACTCGAGCCAGGAGATATAAATTTTTTAATATGCACAAAGCACGGTGTAGCGGTAGAAATGTTTAAGACTAAGCCATTGGATTGACTAGACTTATACAAATCAAAAGCAAAATCACCACTGCGCTTTATTGTTTCTAAAGGAATGGGAAAAGAGCGAGTAACCCAAAAAAAAGAGGGGGAAAGATTCTAGGTAAGGGGGTTGGTTATGCAAAGGGAAAGTATTAGCACCCTAAACATCTACGGTACTCCGTAGGAATCTCTTTGTAAAATCTGTATATTTTGGCTATGAAAAAAAATGTTGTATAAAATAGATGGTGGAGGTGAGAACTGAAATATATTTTTTATGATTTTTGCACCCGCCGCGGTTGCGAACCTTTAGTGCCTACGTACCACATTTTCGTGCAATAGGGGATCAGGGTACACGTAGTTCCTCTTTTAAAAATTTTAAAATACAAATGTGTTGGTTAATTTTATGAGATAAAATGTCATCGTCATTGGCCGTGTGGCAAACATACTTACCACCCACAATCATGAGAAAGGAGACTTTTCATCATCTCAAAGTGGAGGATATGGCTTGGATTTTAGAATCAACAATGCCTCACTTAACACCCAAGTGGAAAATATCTCTCCTCACTATATATTGTAAAAGTATAGTTGTTTGCATCACTACAAGGATTGACAAGATCCTATCTTTTTTTTTGATAAAAATTTAAAGATGAAAGCCAAAGTGGCAAAATAGTTTGAATGAGATTGATTGACTTTTAGTCTTCTCACAAAAAAGGATGTCAAAGTATTATTAAGTTTATTGAAGTTTATTTATGAAAATGTTTGAAAATACATGGACCTAAGTCCAAGTTTATTATGAAAGTGGTTCAAGTTTAAAACAAGAAGAGTTTTCAAAAGGAGGGAGAATATTTTTGAAATTAAAGAAGATGGGAGAAGAAGAAGAGGTTATCCTAAAGCATAAGGTAAAATTTAGGGATAAGAACCATCTAAGCAACAAGAAGCCAATACTTGACACTATGAGCCAACATAGAATTCTCATTCTTTGGATTGAAACCAAACAAGCAAAAATACTAGACCTCTTGAGAGAACCAAATTTCAAGTGTATTAAGTCTTCACAAAAATTAGGCAGAGTAACGGCTGTATATGGGTGAATTCCAGATTACAAACAAAGGGTGTAATCACAATAACATGCACATAAAACAAACAAACAACCCAATATCTTGAGGTAAACCTCAAGAGTTCCAGACAAAATAATCAAATAAGATCACAAGGTCTCCAATCATAGGCCAAGGTTTCTAATCCTATGTCCAAAAAGTCCAATGCTCCATAATATCAAGGATAGTAACCAAATAGTCCAAGTATCATTAAAGATTTTTAAGGTTTATGTTGATTATTAGGTGTTTTTAAAAAGAAAAGTAAAACTCAAGTGAGCAAAAATAAAAATGACAAGAAAGTAAATACTCAAATGAGCAAAGATGAAAATGACATGAAATTTAAATGCTAAAAGTAAATAGTGCATAAAAATAAAAGGGGCATATAAAAGAATAAAGGATAAAGTCAATTATTAGTGATTAGTGGTTAGTTGGATGATAATCTTGAAACTTGCATTTGGGACTCACTAGAGGATTGGTAGAACCAAAGCCTCCACACAACAAGTTGCATTTGCTTTTTGTTAAGTATATCATCCATTTGGAATCCTTATGAGTATCATTTAATGATCAACGATGTTTAAGTGATCCGCGTTGACCAAAGGTGTTGTAGATCCATTAGAGGATTGGTAGAACCAAGGCCTCCACACAATGAATCTCAAGGTTATTAGATCAAAGAGATCAAATTAACATACTTGAGCTTGCAAATATAAGTTTGGGCCATGAATGATCATTTATTCGAATCGGGACAAAATTTAGCGCTATGTTAAGCAATCATAAGTGGACTTATATAGAAGTCGCACCTATTTTGAGGCCGGTCAATAGCAATCTATACACCATTGATTTTGAGACATGATATAGAGATTATGCTCCAACAACATTTAGTGCAATAAGAAGGGGATGAGATGAAGAGGGGTGGGAGAGAATATACAAACCACTTTTGGATTAAATTTAATCAAACTATTATTAAAATTATTCATCCATTTTTATGGAGTTAGACTCAACACCATGGATTCAATGATGTTAATAAAGTTCATGATAAAAAATTTAACCCAAGATCAGCCAGAAAATAGTAATGAAATAATATTACATTTTAATATATACAAAAAGGTTTAAAAATAATGTTTAAAAATAGAAATAAAAGAGAAAAATATCAACTATGTTCAAATTAATCAAGAAATAAAAATTAAGATCATAGAAAAATCAGAAAAGGACTCAAATAATTTTATAATTTTTTTGGTAATTTTTTAAAGTAGGAAACTATTTTTAAAATTAAAATAAAGGGGTAAAATAAACCAAAAATGATTAAAAAAAATAGCAAAGTCAGAAACAAAAATAAAATAAAGTCACCAATATTTGTCACAATATCATTGGATCATTCCATTATTTTTTCAGAATTTAAAAATGCATAAAAGTATTTTTAAACATTTAAATCAATTCAAATAAAGTGAAAATTTATAAAAAATACCAAACCACAAAATTAAATTGTGAAAAAATAAAAATCAGAAAGAGAATAATAAAAAATATTTTCATAATTTTTTCAGATTTTTTGGACTAAAAATGAATTTTCTATGATTTTTTGAAGTATAAAACAATTAAATAAAAAAATCAGAAAAGAAAATAAAATTAAAAAATATGTTGACCATTGGATTAGAGTCAAAATGCGTTAGTAATCAGATCCAAAGGATCCGGCGCATTGTGCATATCATGGTCATTAGTGAATAAAGCACTGAATCAATTATTAAATCAGAATTTAAAAATAACAAGTGGCACGCCATCATTGGTTGGAAGATGACACGTTGGTCATCTTCAACCTTCAGCCAACGTGAATTACAGGTCTCTCAATCTGTAAGATCAGAAGCTCAGACCTATGCCATTCGTTTTGTCTCTTCAAGACGAAGACAACCACACCCCCGCGTCAAATTTATATAAATTGTAGCTCAAGCAATTTGGAAAGAAAGTTCTGAAAAGGGATTTGAAATTTCATGGTCAAAACGTGTTTCCAGTCAAAAAGCAAGTGTTGCAACTAGAACCAGGGCAATGAGAGCATCACAATGATATCAAAGTTTTGAAGAATTGATGAAGGAATCTACCTATTGAAGTTGAGTTGCAAAGCTCTGAAACATAACTTATATGGAGCATTATAAGGCACGATTCTTGAATGTAATTATATGGTTAGCTTTAGGGAAGATCAAGGAAGGTGAATTGATGAAAAAATTTGGATTGAAAAAGGCTTGTATATGGATTTCGAAGTTAATGAATTCTGAGTTATGGAATAAGTTTGGCAGGGTGATTCTGGCTATCTGAGCTTGAGAAAATGAATGGGATAATTCATATATTTATAGGAGAAGAAAATGGGATCAAAAGGAAGAGTGAATGATGCATTTTGGAGGGAAATCATGCAAACCTGATGCACGAGTGAAGTGTGATCTTATTTTCACCAAAACTCATCCAATCCTTGCATTTTGAGGTGCTAAACACTTCTAGAAAGTTTGTTAATCAAGTTTAAATAAAAAACGCATATAAATCTTGTGATTAGAGGCCATATTATGGATTTCAAAATTCTGGCTTGGTGAGAAATTCAGTTCCAAGTTACCAATTTCAAAACAATGGCATTTTCAACTCAAGGGGTCTTAGGGTATGATTCTTGATTCTTTAGAAAGATGAGGTTACAAGCTTTGCAATGGAAAAAGAATAGATTTAAATGGATGCTTGAGCTGAAAGTTGCAATGAGTCAAAGTTGGAGAAAAAGGGTTGACTTTCCATACTTAGAAATATTTCAAATTTTTCTTCAAAAGTGACCTATAATGTCTTGCATCCAAACATAGCCTTCCACTTGGAATTTGCTCTTGACTAAAACAGATGGAATGAAGTATATCTCTTGAATGACATTTTGAAACTTTAAACATTCTAAATCTCCAAAAATTGAGAAAGTTATGGCTTGTTGAAGTTGGCAAAATTTCATAAAATGACATATAATCTTTTGTTTCCTTAAGGCAACTTCCATCCATTTTATCACTTTGAACATAAAAGAAGGAATAAAGTTCACATCTTCAAGATCATTATGGAAA